ATATATTAAAGTGACAAGCGCAATTCACATTAATGAGTAATTATCGTTAATCGCATAACGCAATTATCGTCAATAACAGATGTATATATACTGCATGATTAGAACGACGAAGTTTTGGAAAAAATACGAAAGCGATTTTGATATCAAATATTTGAAAATAAAATCAGGATTATCGTTAGCTGCAATAACGAATAATTTTAGAAACATTTGGTATTAAGGAAAGTGAAAAATTTAGGATTGATTAAGGGCGAATATTTATTAAAGTCATAAGTTCAACCCTGATTTGCCGGTGATAATTTTTTTATCGTTAATGTCATCATACCAGTTATAATTAATAGAAATAGATGAGTGTAGAGTGCGCATAATTAAAGCAGCGAAGTCATATAAAGAATGCGATTTCAACGATAACAATTTTGATTTGTGAACAATTGAAAATAATTATCGCAATTATCGTTAATTTACGTTAATGAAAAACCAAGAAAAAGTTTCACAATTAGGAAATTAAGAGTTTCAAAACTGATTAACGCGATATATTAAAGTGATAAGCGCGATTCACATTGATGACTAATTATCGTTAATCGCATAACGCAATTATCGTCAATAACAGATGTATATATAGTGCATGATTAGAACGACGAAGTTTTGGAAAAAATACGACAGCGATTTTGATATCAAATATTTGAAAATAAAATCAGGATTATCGTTGGCTGCAATAACGAATAATTTTAGAAACATTTGGTGTTAAGGAAAGTGAGAAATTTAGGATTGATTAAGGACGAATATTTGTTAAAGTCATAAGTTCAACCCTGATTTGCCGGTGATAATTTTTTTATCGTTAATGTCAACATACCAGTTATAATTAATAGAAATAGATGAGAGTAGAATGCGCATAATTAAAGCAGCAAAGTCTTATAAAGAATGCGATTTCAACGATAATAATTTTGATTTGTGAACAATTGAAAATAATTATCGCAATTATCGTTAATTTACGTTAATGAAAAACCAAGAAAAAGTTTCACAATTAGGAAATTAAGAGCTTCAAAACTGATTAACGCGATATATTAAAGTGACAAGCGCGATTCACATTGATGACTAATTATCGTGTTAATCGCATAACGCAATTATCGTCAATAACAGATGTCTATATAGTGCATGATTAGAACGACGAAGTTTTGGAAAAAATACGACACCGATTTTGATATCAAACATTTGAAAATAAAATCAGGATTATCGTTAGCTGCAATAACGAATAATTTTAGAAACATTTTGTGTTAAGGAAAGTGAAAAATTTAGGATTGATTAAGGACGAATATTTGTTAAAGTCATAAGTTCAACCCTGATTTGCCGGTGATAATTTTTTTTATCGTTAATGTCAACATACCAGTTATAATTAATAGAAATAGATGAGAGTAGAATGCGCATAATTAAAACAGCAAAGTCTTATAAAGAATGCGATTTCAACGATAATAATTTTGATTTGTGAACAATTGAGAATAATTATCGCAATTATCGTTAATTTAGCTTAATGAAAAACCAAGAAAAAGTTTCACAATTAGGAAATAAAGAGTTTCAAAACTGATTAACGCGATATATTAAAGTGACAAGCGCGATTCACATTAATGACTAGTTATCGTTAATCGCATAACGCAATTATCGTCAGTAACAGATGTCTATATAGTGCATGATTAGAACGACGAAGTTTTGGAAAAAATACGACAGCGATTTTGATATCAAATATTTGAAAATAAAATCAGGATTATCGTTAGCTGCAATAACGAATAATTTTAGAAACATTTGGTGTTAAGGAAAGTGAAAAATTTAAGATTGATTAAGGACGAATATTTGTTAAAGTCATAAGTTCAATCCTGATTTGCCGGTGATAATTTTTTTTATCGTTAATGACATCATACCAGTTATAATTAATAGAAATAGATGAGTGTAGAGTGAGCATAATTAAAGCAGCCAAGTCTTATAAAGAATGCGATTTAAACGATAATAATTTTGATTAGTGAACAATTGAAAATAATTATCGCAATTATCGTTAATTTACGTTAATGAAAAATCAAGAAAAAGTTTCACAGTTAGGAAATTAAGAGTTTCAAAACTGTGTGAACAATTGAGAATAATTATCGCAATTATCGTTAATTTACGTTAATGAAAAACCAAGAAAAAGTTTCACAATTAGGAAATTAAGAGTTTCAAAACTGATTAACGCGATATATTAAAGTGATAAGCGCGATTCACATTGATGACTAATTATCGTTAATCGCATAACGCAATTATCGTCAATAACAGATGTCTATATAGTGCATGATTAGAACGACGAAGTTTTGGAAAAAATACGACAGCGATTTTGATATCAAATATTTGAAAATAAAATCAGGATTATCGTTAGCTGCAATAACGAATAATTTTAGAAACATTTGGTGTTAAGGAAAGTGAAAAATTTAGGATTGATTAAGGACGAATATTTGTTAAAGTCATAAGTTCAACCCTGATTTGCCGGTGATAATTTTTTTTATCGTTAATGTCATCATACCAGTTATAATTAATAGAAATAGATGAGTGTAGAGTGCGCATAATTAAAGCAGCGAAGTCATATAAAGAATGGGATTTCAACGATAACAATTTTTATTTGTGAGCAATTGAAAATAATTATCGAAATTATCGTTACTTTAGGCTAATGATGAACACAATTAGGAAAGTAAGAATTTTTAAAGTAATCAAGTCGACTTTCTAAAGTGATGAACAGGATTCACATTGATGATTAATAATTAATTATCGTTAATCGCATAACACAGTTATCGTCAATAACAGATGTCTATGAGGGTCCATAATTAAAGCAACGAAGTTTTGGAAAAAATACAGATTCAGCAATGACTGTTTTAACATCGAAAATTTTAAAATAAAATCAAAATTATCGTTGGTCTGCAGTAACGAAAAATTGCCAAAACATTTGGTGTTAAGGAAAGTAGGAAATTTAGAATTGATCAAAAAACGAACGTATCTTAAAATGATAATTTCCGTCCAGATTTGCCGGTGATAATTTTCTTCTCGTTAATCTCGTAATACAGTTATCATTAGCAGCAATAGGTGAGTGTAGAGTGCGCGTAATTAAAGCAGTAATGTCTAATAAAGTATGCAATTTCAACGATAATGTTATTTTGTGAACAATTTAAAATAATTATCGTAATTATCGTTAATTTACGTTATTCATAAACGAGACATACGTTTCACAATTAGGAAAATAAGAATTTTAAAACTGATCAAGACGACGTTTTAAAGTGATGAGCGGGATTAACATTGATGATTAATAATTAATTATCGCTAATCGCATAACACAATTATCGTTAGTAACAGATGTCTATAAGAGCCCATAATTAAAACAATGAAGTTTTGGAAATAATACCAATTCAACAATGACGGTTTTAAAATCAAAGATAAAGAAGATAATATAAGAAAAATTGCGAAAATATTTGGTGTTAAGGAAAGTGGGACATTTAGAATGATTGATGATGTCTAATAAAGAATGCAATTTCAACGATAGTTTTGATTTCTGAAAAATTAAGAATAATTGTCGTAATTATCGTTAATTCATTTATGTTAGTCATAAATGACACAAACATTTGAAAACTAGGAAAACAGAATTATCGTTAATTTGCAATAACGAAAAATTACAGAAAAATTTCGCGATGACGAAAATAAGTAAATAAGTCCATATTTTGATGACGATTTTCTTATCGTTAAAAATAAAATCGGAATTATCGTTATAACGACCTATACTTTGTAGTTGAATTTATCAATAAATATAGTACATGAAAACCAACTATTACGTACGGTAATCGTAAGATTGCGCTTTCGAAGTTTCGGCCTTTATGTCATCACCCCCTTCAGTATCTCATTAAACCGCTCTTCGCCTATCACTCTCCCATTTAAAAATAAACCCATTTTTCACTCTCCGAAACGGCAACAATTAAAACCGCGTCAATTATTTCATTGTTCCCACAACAAATAAAACCTCTGCACTCTATTCCAAAACGCCATTCGCCGCTTCGAACATAATAACTGCAAAGTCCGTAAATAATTCATTTTATTCGCTCCTGAACGTTCAGTAATTATTCAAAAACGCCCGTATTAATAAAACACTCGCCTCATCCCGTAGGAATTCAGGAATTTTCGCCGAGGAGGAATCGCTTTATAAATAAACCGTTTTTGGCAGACGGTCGGGCGTCTTCGGAACACCGGGAATACATTAATAAACGATAATTAAACTATTAAAAACCGACATGTTCGGGGGCGAATCCAAACAAAGTTGTCCGAGTTGGAAATAAAAGTTGGAGGAAAAATAACGACAGAGTTTCTTTTGAAACTTCTCCAACTGTTGTTGAGGGTTCGGGGAATTTTTTATTGTTATTAGCGGAAGCGACGACGAATTCGGGAGTTATTAATTGGGGATTGGGGCACTTATTGGATGGCGTTTGTTCTTTTCGAATTATTCGTGATTATGTTTTGGCTCGTTTATGGGATTGTTGTGAATAATGTAGGGGATGAAAAGAGTGCTATAAGGATGTGGAATTTTTGCTTTATGGGGGTAATTTTATTTCCTTAAACTCGCCAGGTTCTCTTGTGTGCTTTCCTGCATTTAAAAAAGCCTCGTTATTTGCGTAAAAGTAGTTTCGTATTCGAGGTTCGAGCAAGATCTGTGAGAACACAATAATGGCGTGCTTTACGAGTGCGATTTAATAGTTTAAACAGTCGTTAACAATTTCAGCTAAGCCACGATCAAAACATAACTTTCCAACGATCCGTGCTACATGAAAAATTAATTGTGAAACCTCGCACCGCCATTTTACGAATTACCCGATATTTACTCTCTCTCTTTTTTCGACCAATCAATCCCGTCTTAAATTATTCACCCAATTAAATTGTTTCAAAGCTCGCAATCTCGTACGCAAAAATACCCCAATTTCGTCCGGTTTGTAATTTTTCTTTTCTTCCAGGATTGAATGGACTATCAACTATCGGACCTTAATCACTTCGGCCCAGTTTTTTAAAGGTGAGTCGTTCAAAGCAAAGCGCATGTTTTTCAATTTAAACTTTTTAATGGTTTGATGTAAAACTTTGATAAGGCGGCAATTTGCATAATGTGATTCTTAAGTAATCGGCCGAGTCGATATTTTGTCGACGCGGTTTTTGTTGGGACGGGATGTCTAATGGAAAGTAAGTGTCTAGACGAGTATTAAATTGTCGAGAGATGGACGATAAGGAGTCGCTACGGATACGAAACAGATGTCTTCCGGTGTTTGCCAAATCTTTATCAAGGGGCGGGCGAAAGGTGGGACAACCGGAAAATTGTCAAGGTTGGCACTTTTTGACGGCAGAATGCATCCATGCGTGCGTGGTTTGAGAAATCCAAAAATTGTCAAATCATATGGCTACAAAAACTGAACTATTCTATGGAAGAGATTAAATATGAAATCTGTGATTGCTAAAAACAACCTGTGTTAATTATTGTCAATTTGAACATCATGTTTATTGTAAATATTCCATTGATTGTCAAAACGTGCGTTGTTCCAAAAATTGTCAAATATGTTTGTTGGAAATCGTGAAATATCCAGACACCGGTGTGGTTATAATTCTAAAATTTCAAACACATTGTTGAAGAATTCATGCATCAGCTTTATCGAGAAATTTGTAGTCCAATGTCAAAAAATGTCAGATCAATATAAAAATTGTCAATGTCGCAGAGAAACAAAAATTGAAATCGTACATGTTGAAAGAGTTTAAATAAAACCGAGTAACGATTGCCGATTTGCCTGTGTTGTTTGTTGAGACAAATTCTTGGATTGTCAAAACGTGCCTTGTTCCAAAAATTGTCAAAATGTTTGGAAATTATGAAATATCCAAGATATCGGTATGTTTAAGATTGTAAAATCTCAAATTCCTTACTAAACAATTGATGTGTTTCAGTTTTGTCGGAACAAACGTAATCGTTTATTAGAAGAGTCAAATTGTCAAATGTCATACAAAAACAAAAATCGAAATGGTGTGTGTTGGAGATTAAATATAAAGTCTGTTAATTGCTCCGAATTTGACCCTCATGTTTGTTGTACATATTCCATACATTGTCAAAATTTGCCTTTTTCCAAAAATCGTCAAATATGTTTATTGGAAATCGTGAAATATCCAGAAACCGGTGTGGTTATTATTATTAAATTTCAAACACTTTGTTGAAAAATTAATGTATCAGCTTCATCGAGAAATTTGTAGTCTGTTATCAAAAAATGTCAAATCAAAATAAAAATTGTCAAATGTCGCAGAGAAACAAAAATTGAAATCGTACATGTTGAAAGAGATTAAATAAAACCGACTAACGATTGCCGATTTGCCTGTGTTGTTTGTTGAGAATAATTGTTGGATTGTCAAAACGTGTCTTGTTCCAAAAATTGTCAAATATGTTTAGAAATCGTGAAATATCTAAGGTATCGGTATGTTGCAGATTGTAAAATTTCAAATTCCTTACTAAACAATTCATGTTTCAGTTTTGTCGGAACAAACCTAATCGTTTATTAGAAGAGTCAAATGAAAATAAAAATTGTCAAATGTCATACAAAAACAAAAATCGAAATGGTGTGTGTTGGAGATTAAATATAAAGTCTGTTAATTACTCCGAATTTGACCCTCATTTTTGTTGTACATGTTCCATACATTGTCAAAATATGCCTTTTTCCAAAAATTGTCAAATATGTTTATTGGAGATGGTGAAATATCCAAACACCTGTGTGGATATTATTATTGTAAAGTTTCAAACACATTGTTGAAAAATTCATGCATCAGCTTCATCGAGAAATTTGTAGTCTGTTGTCAAAAAAAGTCAAATCAAAATAAAAATTGTCAAATGTCGCAGAGAAACAAAAATTGAAATCGCACATGTTGAAAGAGATTAAATAAAACCGACTAACGATTGCCGATTTGCCCGTGTTGTTTGTTGAGACAAATTCTTGGAATGTCAAAGCGTGCCTTGTTCCAAAAATTGCCAAATATGTTTAGAAATCATGAAAAATCTAAGATATCGGTATGTTTAAGATTGTAAAATTTCAAATTCCTTACTAAACAATTGATGTGTTTCAGTTTTGTCGGAACAAACGTAATCGTTTATTAGAAGAGTCAAATGAAAATAAAAATTGTCAAATGTCATACAAAAACAAAAATCGAAATGTTGTGTGTTGGAGATGAAATATAAAGTCTGTTAATTACTCCGAATTTGACCCTCATGTTTGTTCTACATATTCCATACATTGTCAAAATATGCCTTTTTCCAAAAATTGTCACATATGTTTATTGGAAATCGTGAAATATCCAGACACCAGTTAAATTTCAAACATAAATTAATTGATGCTTCAGTTTTATCGATAAATATGTAGTCGGTTCTCAAAAAATGACAAATGAAAATAAAAATTGTCAAATGTCATAGATATACAAATATTGGAATGTTGCGTATTGGAGGGCATTAAATAAAGTCTGTAAATTATTGTCAATTTGACTGTCATGTTTGTTGTAATTATTGCATTGAATGTCAAAACGTGCCTTTTTCCAAAACTTGTCAAGAATGTTTACTAGAAATCGTGAAATATCCAGACACTAGTATGACTAATAATACTAAAATCCCAAACTCTGCTGAAGAATTGAAATTGAAATAGTATATGTTGAAAGAGATTAAATAAAATGTTTGCCAATCTGCCTGTCGTGTTTATTTTAAATAAGTCTTAGATTGTCAAAACATGCTGTGTTCCAAAAATTGTCAAGTATGTACGTTGGAATTCGTGGAATATCTGAAACACAAGTATGATTATAATTATTGTAAAATTTCAAATTGTTTGCTAAATAATTCAGGCTTAAGTCATGTCGGAAAAACCGTAATCGGTTTTTAGAAAAGTCAAATCGAAATAAAAATTGTCAAATGTTATAGATATACAAAAATTAGAATGTTGCGTCAAGAAGTGCATTAAATAAAGTCTGTAAATTACTGTCAATTTGATTGTCATGTTTGTTGTAATTATTGTATTGAATGTCAAAACGTACTTTTTTCCAAAACTTGTCAAGAATGTCTACTAGAAATCGTGAAATATCCAGACACCAGTATGGTTATAATAGTAAAATTCCAAACTTTGCTGAAGAATTCATGCTTTAGACTTATCAAGAAACACGTTGTCGCTTCTCAAAAAATGTCAAATGAAAATAAAAATTGTCAAATGTCGTAGAGAAACAAAAATTGAAATGTTATATGGTAAAAGAGATTAAATAAAATGTTTGCCAATCGTGTTTATTTTAAATAAGTCTTAGATTGTCAAAACATGCTGTGTTCCAAAAATTGTCAAGTATGTTCGTTGGAATTCGTGGAATATCTGAAACACGAGTATGATTATAATTATTGTAAAATTTCAAATTGTTTGCTAAATAATTCAGGTTTCAGTCATGTCGGGAAAAAACGTAATCGGATTTTAGAAAAGTCAAATCAAAATAAAAATTGTCAAATGTCATAGATATACAAAAATTGGAATGTTGCGTGAAGAAGGGCATTAAATAAAGTCTGTACATTACTGTCAATTTGAGTGTCATGTTTGTTGTAATTATTGTATTGAATGTCAAAACGTACTTTTTTCCAAAACTTGTCCAGAATGTCTACTAGAAATCGTGAAATATCCAGACACCAGTATGATTATAATAGTAAAATTCCAAACTTTGCTGAAGAATTCATGCTTTAGACTTATCAAGAAACACGTTGTCGCTTCTCAAAAAATGTCAAATGAAAATAAAAATTGTCAAATGTAGAGAAACAAAAATTGAAATGTTATCTGGTGAAAGAGATTAAATAAATTGTTTGCCAATCGTGTTTATTTTAAATAAGTCTTAGATTGTCAAAACATACTGTGTTCCAGAAATTGTCAAGTATGTTCGTTGGAATTCGTGGAATATCTGAAACACGAGTATGATTATAATTGTTGTAAAATTTAAAATTGTTTGCTAAATAATTCAGGCTTAAGTCATATCGGAAAAACCGTAATCGGTTTTTAGAATAGTCAAATCAAAATAAAAATTGTCAAATGTCATAGATATACAAAAATAAGAATGTTGCGTGAAGAAGGGAATTAAAGAAAGGTTGTAAATTACTGTCAATTTGAGTGTCATGTTTGTTGTAATTATTGTATTGAATGTCAAAACGTGCCTTTTTCCAAAACTTGTCAAGAATGTCTACTAGAAATCGTGAAATATCCAGACACCAGTATGATTATAATAGTAAAATTCCAAACTCTGCTGAAGAATTCATGCTTTAGACTTATCAAGAAACACGTTGTCGCTTCTCAAAAAATGTCAAATGAAAAAAAAATTGTCAAATGTCGTAGAGAAACAAAAATTGAAATGTTATATAGTGAAAGAGATTAAATAAAATGTTTGCCAATCGTGTTTATTTTAAATAAGTCTTAGATTGTCAAAACATGCTGTGTTCCAGAAATTGTCAAGTATGTTCGTTGGAATTCGTGGAATATCTGAAACACGAGTATGTTTATAATTGTTGTAAAATTTAAAATTGTTTGCTAAATAATTCAGGCTTAAGTCATGTCGGAAAAACCGTAATCGGTTTTTAGAAAAGTCAAATCGAAATAAAAATTGTCAAATGTCATAGATATACAAAAATTAGAATGTTGCGTGAAGAAGGGTATTAAATAAAGTCTGTAAATTACTGTCAATTTGAGTGTAATGTTTGTTGTAATTATTGTATTGTTTTGTTTTTTTCCAAAACTTGTCAAGAATGTCTACTAGAAATCGTGAAATATCCAGACATCAGTATGATTATAATAGTAAAATTCCAAACTCTGCTGAAGAATTCATGCTTTAGGCTTATCAAGAAACACGTTGTCGCTTGTCAAAAAATGTCAAATGAAAATAAAAATTGTCAAATGTCATAGAGAAACAAAAATTGAAATGTTATATGGTGAAAGAGATTAAATAAAATGTTTGCCAATCGTGTTTATTTTAAATAAGTCTTAGATTGTC